ACACACACACACACACACACACACAGAGGAAACAGCAAGTGTTGGCGAGGGTGTGCAGGGACTGGGGTGGGACTGCAAGAGGGTACCCCGCTGTGGGAAACCTGCTTCCTCAGCACGCGGGAATGGCGCGGCCAGGGCACAGCCCTCCCCACTCAGCACCCGAGGAGACTCACGTGAGGAGCTGAGGCCAACTGACACCAACCCTCCTCCCTCCCACAGAGCAGCCCGTGGTTTCAAACTGCTGACCTTGTGGCGGAGTGCAGCCCAGCTGTAAGCACTGAGCTCCGGGGGTATCTCCTGGGGAAAGCAGAGAGGTGGCGGGCACAGGCTCACGCACACCCAGGGCACCGCAGCGCTGTTCTCTGCAACAAGCCATGGACACAGCCCAGCAGGTACGTCCCTTTGATACGTACACATGACGGAACATGGCGACCATCAAAGAACAGCGAGGAGTCTGCCAGCGGGAGTCCTCCTCCCTCCCAGCAGCGAGGATGTGCTGAGTGAGAGGCGTCCATCACAGAGGACAGCTGCTGTGAGAGGCCTGACGACGGGAGCCAGGGACAGGCTCCTCTGGAAAGACGCGGCTTTGAGCCGGGAGGGGCAGGAGCGGGCACACTGGCCAGGAGGCGGACGCATGCTGCCCTCATGAAAAGGGGCAATGCACAGTGTGGGGTGGGTGTGGCAAAATTGATGAGGCCAGGGAGACACTGGGATGTGAGTGTGTGTGTGTGTGTGTGTGTGTGTGTGTGTGTGTGTGAATGTAGACATCCCTAGCGGCTGCCCATCACTCCATTTGTGAAACCTTCATTTCACACACATCCAGGCGTTGGCGGACGCAGCCCCCAGGCCTCACTGAAGGTGGCCCCGATTTGCTGTCTCCACTGATACAGGTTTGTGTGCACCCCTCCTGCTGCCTGACCGCCGCCCCCTCTCCGGAGACTTGCACAGTAAAACGGTGACTTTCCAAGAATCCACATACATGTTGGTGCATCTGGGCTGTCAGAGGCTGCTGAGCAATTCAACAGCCAGCAAATACCAGCAAGCCTCTACGCTCAGCTCAGTGTGGGGGCCGCAGAGCAGGGACGGCCTACCTGCTCTTGAAGCCCCTCCCGGAGCCTGGCAGCCTCCTCTCGGGACATGTGCAGTTCTTGGTGCAGGGCGCCCTGGTCGCGGAGCCGGCAAGTCAGTGTCACCAGCTGGTGGTGGAGCCGCCCCACCCGCAGCCTGAGGTCCTCCGCCAGGACTCCACCTCTGGGGCCTGAGCACAGCGGGCACCAGACCTGGCCCTGTGGGACAGAGCAGCCCTGCCCGTGAGGGACCACGGCTGAAAATCTGCACCAAGCACAGGCCGCCGCTCCCCTGTAGAGACTCAGCCTCAGGGGTCACTAAGTACAAGAAACCAGCCCCCCCCGGAGCGCACTGGGCGTGACTCGCTGCAGGAGGGGCAGGGGCAGGCAAAACTGAGCAGGGTGATGGGAGTGGGAGAAGAGGCGTCCAGGGAGGGAACGGGCACCTCCCAACGTGCAGTGTGCCTTTGCCAGTGCACCTGGACCCGCCTGCATCAGCACCCACTGAAACAGCGGACTGCAATTCCAAGGGTCATGAAGATGGCCCAGGACCAGCCAGCGTTTCCCTCCCGCCGGAGGGAGCTGTGGGCAGAGCTTGCTTGGCAGCCACCAGCAGCAGC